ATATATTGGCTTTCAATAAAAGGCTGCTTTTACTATACTACCAGAGATGTATTCTGTTCAGAGATGACAGATATATATTATCTTTGAGATTAAGAAGATTTCCCGGTTCCTATGATTGGAATTCTGTGTGTTGAAAAACATAATTAAGCTAGACATTCTCAGAAAGTACATTAACATTAATATTAATTAATGCAAACAGCTGTTTGAAAAAGCCAGCCAGATGAACCTGCTTCTTGGTCAGGTGTAAAATCCTATTGTACTCAAGTTATGAGTCATTTCAGTTAATGACTTATTTCACCAAAGAACCGCACTGTGGGCATTACTTTTGAGAAATGCTATACCCACTGTCACACAAATTAAAATTTGTCACACAAAATAAAATTTAATGAATGTTCTGTCCTCGGCATGAGAAAAACAAACTAAAAAAATGTTAAGTTACGTTAATGGAGATCCAATCTGGAGCAAGAAGGAAACAGGCAAGGCTTTCTAATAAACATTAGATTGGCCCGTGATCCACTCTTCCTTCTATGTCCTTGACCCATAATCCAATTAGGTGCTGCCTCATCCCTGGGTTCCTTTACCTGTCTCCAGGCTCAGACTCATATTCTCTGTATAGTAATTACAGAACTAGTAAGCACTAGAACTCAAAACTCCTTGAGGGCCTGGAGGGACTGACTGAATCACAGTTACCTTGTACCTGGAACACTTTCGGTAACCTACAAATATCTGCTTGGGTGTCTGAATTTCCTTATTACAGTAACCTTTCCATTGTCAGAGCCTTACATTATTGGATCTGCTTAACACTCTGACAATTGAGGCTTTCTAATTTCCAAACAATTATAAGACAAATTTGATGCTGCCCCTTTGCCACCAGTCAAGTGATTATTGTTAACAGAATGTTCTCCTACATAGCTCTGCAGCCCTAGAGGAGGAGGTGAGAAATAACACGGTAAGAGCAATCCAGCGCAGAACAGAAAAGACAACACAGTAAGACTGACACTGAGATGGTGACGTGACTTAACACGCATATGAGAATCAGAAGAGGCCTGGCAAGGAGGGTGAACGGGAGAAACTCTCACTAATAAACCACCTGAGCAAGTCGCTTAACCCCTAGGACCTTTCCGCTTCAACCACTGCAAACTGAAGGCACGTGCAAGGTGAACCTTCCAGCTCCAAGTGGACGTGCGCCTCTGATGATTCAGAGGGCTGTGAGAACATAATTACAGCACCTTCTTTGCACACATCAAATATCACTGGTGATGAGATGATTAATAAACATGTCTATACTTTATAATGCCCGCTAAGTGAAGGTTTACTGGAAGGAGTAAAAATAAACTAGTTGTCTTAGGAAAACTTCACAAATTATCACCCTCCCCGGTAGATTAAACATTTACCTTTTTCAATAAATCATTAACTACACAGGAAGATGCCTTGTGAAAGTTTCAAAGTATGATTTAAAAATACAGAACTAAAAGGTCAAGTACTCCAAAATATTAACAGGAAGTAATGTTAAAAGAAAAAAAGGACAGGGTGCCAGAGTTTGAAGAGAAGCTGGAAGACCTAAATGTCTGCTACAAAGAAGCACTGGCCTTACAATCTACATTTATAATTGGATATTTGCAGCGTCTATAGTTTTATTTTAACAGCTGGCAGGATGCTTGTTGACAGAATTAGCCTAACACAATGGCAAACCAACTTGCAGGGTAGAACAGTGACAGTGAAGGACCTATTATGTTTTTTTTTTGTTCTTGTATAAGAGCATTTAGATGCCTCTATTTAAAAAATAAATAAATATCCAGGGGCATTATCCAAATGTTCAGTTACTAGGGATACTAACAGTTGTCGATCCATGGCAATTTCACTGCTGTTTTTTACACAAATCATCGCTTGCAAGCACTGATGTTAAAAACAGAAAAACAGTCTAGTACACAGTGGCTATAAATGCCAAATCAATTTTCAGCAGATAATAAAGTCCATGTTTTACAATCAGCAATGCACTGTTTTACTACCTAAAAATGTAAGCTAATAATATATAGCTCTACTAAATGGAAAATGCAGATATGCTGTTAAAAAACGGGCCGGCTGTGAGAGGATGGATCATTTCTGCAGGGACCTTCTTAAAGTTATGTGCAAGTGTTTTGAAAATATCACATGATGTGGCCATGTGTTAAAAATTACAGCCAGTTAAGTTCTCTGCTAAGAAAAATATGTGGGCAATTTATGAAATGCACTCCAGAATGGAGATGTCTTAAGTAAAACCAGATTTTGAAAACAAATCTTTTTTTTTTTTTGAAACTTGAACTTAAAAAAAAGTTCCATGCACATCTGGAGAGCAGGACCATTGAGAAAGGGTGGTCTGACCTAATATTAGCCATCTTCTGAAAGAACAGCACTATTTCTGAGCTACACGGACTGTGCTCACTTATTGTCCTTTTAAGGAAACAGTCCGGAAAGCATTTTGTAGGTCAACATATGTTCTTTGATAATAGTATACAAAGATTGATTAAAAATATAAATGTTTCAGAAATCTTGGAGTCATCTCCTCCTGAAACAATATAACGCTCAAGGGCTGCCAGCCTTGTCATAAGAAACCATTTTCCATTTTTCTTTTCTTAAACACAAGGATCTAGTTATTACCAAGTGACAAGCAGTGAAATGATATTTCCTTATAGTGAATTAAATCATAAAAATAGTTAAATTTATTTCTTTAAAGCATGCATGGTCTCCTTTGCCTTTTCACAGTTCATCTTTGTATCAATATGCTATCAACAGCTACAGCATGCTTTTATAAACTGAAATAATTCTAGAAAACCCTAGTCTAAAGACTGTTATATCTACCCACAACCACAGATTGGTATGTCTTCGAACAAATTCAATCTCTGTGCATATCTGTTTCCAGGGATCCCCATTTTTATGAAAAAGGTCCACGATCTGAGAATTGTTAATTCAAGTTTGATACAACCAGGGACCAGTTCTGACACCTGACCTACTAATACCACTACTACTACTAACAATAATAATGATAAATGGTGTTATATAAATATGTAGTCAAATTTTAAAAACAGTGACAATATCCAATTACCTGAAACACATCATTTTAATCTCCTACATATAATATCTTATTTAAAAACATAAAAAATGCCCTAGATAGTTAAAACTGTCCATTAATACAAGTACATATATGTATGGACTAAAATATGCTAAAAACACAGTCCATCCAATAGTGGAGTTTAAAAAGTGCAGAGGGGTGTCAAAAATAGCCAAGTGTCAGATCTGCTCAAGTATCTCCATTCTGGCACATGCTCATAGTCACAGCTGTTAATATATTCTCTGCATCCAAGTAAAAGGTTTTCTAACACAGTTGACGAGAGAGGGGAAGAGAGAAAGAGAAAGAAACACTGCCCACACCTCAGGCTACTGCTTCAGAACCAGACAGATATGAACAACTCAAGGAGTGAAACAAAACTTATCAATGATTCTAAAATTTTAACTATAGTTCAATGCCTTTTAAATAAAGATGCTTTAAAGATTACTTTAAAACCAGGTAATTAGGGGTAGCAAGGGTCCTAACTAATACCTTTCCCCTATTATCATTCACAAATGCCTTTGGTTTATTGTGGATACGGGCTCTTCAAAATACTAATACATCAGATCATTTCATATATTTAGTAAGAGCATAAAAACAAAGAAGATTCAAATTATGACATAAAAATCAGATGAAAGTGCGACAATATTCTGGTGAAATTAAAAAAAACAACAACAACAACCCACAAGCACTTTTTCACACCGATTCCATATCGCACACCCAATGCACTTTACATTTTTAGGTGCATGGTGCATATAAATAAAGGTGAGTGCCTCAGAAGTTAAAATGACCTTTTAAATACCTTGGTCATTGTCTTTTTGTAAATTGATTTTCCCCATATGTCAGCTACACATAATCCTCATCTACTAAACTAATGAAAAACTGCAGTTCTATCATAAATGCATCCTTTCTGCACATATATTAATAATGATGAGGATCACAAGACACATCCTAAAGGGAAAAACATTCTTCCAACAACTGGCAATACCTACACACAACTGTGATTGCAGAAAACTGGCAGATAATGTTTCAAAACACCATCTGTGAGGTGTACAAACTCTGTGACCGAGCACAGCCTCTTCTGCCTGTCCTACCCAAATAATCTGCACGATTCAGCCAGCTGGAGGATCTCTATCTGCCTTGTCTTTTTTATCTGGAGTGAGACTGCTCAAAGTAGGCACAGTTCTTGAGAACAGCAGAAACAACCCTTCCCCATCAAGCTGCTTCTCCCAGGCTTCCTTCTCCAGAAGCAGAGCCTTCACTGGCAACAGCCACAGACAGGAACACTCTAGGCTCCAAAGATAATATTTTTCAGAGGAAATTGACATACGCTAAATTTCCAGAACCACAACAGCTTCAGTAATTCAGCAGACTTTTTATTTTTAATTAACTGATTTCAATTATTTGCCTAAGACATCTGAGGACTGTGATTTAGGGCAAGGCTGGAATTATTTGTAGCTCCAAAGCATTCCTTACTTCCTCAAACATGAACAGCTTTTTAAACAGACCTTATCCCAGGGTTCCGCCATAATCTGAAAACTCTCTTCCCAGATGAAATTTCCAGCATACAAGATACAGATGACAGGCACGAAATCCAGAACAGAAACAATACTTCTGACTTGAGCTAAATCCCTCCAGTAAATTGCTCTGGCAAACAGACGTGGCCAGTTTCCCCTCAGCTTTGAAAACACACCTCCTAAATTTTAAAAGGAAGGACTCCACACCCTGTTCCCCTGCATCTAGATCCTGATGGCTCTCTTCATGCCACCTTCCACATATCCCCTCTGCCCTCCCCAGCCCCTGCTCACAGAAGGTACAGCGCGCCATGGGGCAGAAGGTCTCTTCCATGCCTAATCAAAAGTAAGCTTTCTTCATGTGAAAATCAGAGAGAGAGAGTGGAGCAGGGCTAACTCACCAGGCATCCTTGAACGCAGCGTCCACACAGAAAGGGACTGTCTCCTAAAAGCAAGCGCAACCAGAGCTCATGCCTCCTGTTCTGGAATGAGAGCAGGCAGAGAGAGGAGGGCCATCAGAAGGGGCTGGGGCGGCATAGCCTGAGGCAGGGTGCTGGGCGCGTGCGCCTGCCAGGCAGAGACAGATGGAGAGCTGACACTCCGGGTTGCACTTGAAGCAGAAATGTGGATGATGACAGGAGCACATGTGGCCTTGAACCCAGCCCTGTCTCTTCAGGCAGAACAATGACAGGGATGTGTGTGCAAAGTATCGCAACCGTGGCCTCCCCTTACCCACTCTATCTCTCTCAGAAGTTCCAGAGCACCAAAGACAGAAAGTAAAAAGCAGAATAATAAGCTAAATGCTGAATAATTCATTCACCACACCCCCCCCAATCCAGTTACAAGTTAACCCTTATTCTGCCAAAAGAAAGAAAAGTAGACTTGGCCCCCTACCAGTGCTCACAATAAGGGATTTCTCTTCATCTTCTCCTAATTGTGAACTATATTTTAAAAACAAAAACAAAACAATCATAGGCACAAACCCCAAAGCTTGTTTATTGAACTGAAAATCCAAAACAATATAAAAACATATTTCTGAGATGATATATTGTGCCAGTTGATCATATTGAACAAAGTATCAGAATCATTCCTTTTGTCAGCGTCTCAGGAGTATGTGCAAAATAGAACACTTTAAAAGCAGAAGCAGGCCACTTTTCTTTTACTAGCATGCTTTTAACCCCCTGTGATCCCTGTGCTGATATGCTCCAAACATTTCCAGCTTACTCTCCTCTATCTTGCATAGAAATCCATGGGAAATGAAAACAAAATCTTCCCTGTAAAAAGCCTTTTCAAAACCTCAACAATCATGTCCTCCTGATTTTTTATTTATTTATTTTTTTTGCACACCCTTAAATGTTTATCCTTCCCATGAATAACACATACCCAGCCCAGTTCAATGGACTCTTCCCTATTAAGCTTTAATGGACACCATGATATATAAAACTACAAGGCTTTGTTATAGCGCTTTATCTAAAGCTGGCTATTTTCCTCTCAGCAGTCCCTCTTTAGTCCTTTGTAAAACATCCTTGCCTCATAGGAGAAACATACGCCTGTCTGCCTTGCATGTTTTTCTAAACACACAAAAATGTCAAGCAGAAGAAAAATACTGCTCTCCTCTAAAATTCTTCTTCACTTTAACACTTGCAGATCTTTCCTAGGTCTGTGTGGATTTGTTTTAACAACAGGGCAGGCACATGATGAGACAGATGCCTCACGTTTTACCTTCCCAATGGATGTGCAATCCACTATAAACACAAAAACAATTCTACTCAGGAGCCTCCGACAACCCTGCAAGTTCAAGGAATATGATAGACAGAATCATCCCCTTTAACTCTTGCCATCCCCCTTCAGAGTCTTCCTCTGCTTATTCTACACTTTCCATATGCTTTTAGCCCTTGTCAGATAGATTTTCCCCCCTACTTGCTGCCTAAAAGAAATCATAAAAGCCCATCTGAAATCACAGGCAGTGACTCTGACTTCTACCTACTCACCATTCCTGTACTTCTCCGCAAGAGTGCACACAACCTGTTCCAAAGCATACCCATCTACACACACACCCCGTGCAACCTGAAAATAAATCATCTTTAGTAAACAGCGTCAATCAATAAGAACTTCCACGGTCCCCAAATACTACACCCTAGAAGCACTGCTTCATCTAGTGAACCCCTCAAAAATCCATCACTGTCAGAGACAACTTGTAAAAAGACTATAATTCATAATGATTACTCTGTTCTGTCACTAATAGTATACTGCACCCTATTTATGAGGCCAATCTTTTTGTTCATCTTAGTTAGACGTCACTTGTAATGAGGTTCTGTGTAATGGATTTCAGTATAGTTAAGCACCAAGCTCAAACATTCTTATGACAGAAAGCTTTATAGCAGGCATGAGAGTGATAATCAATTAAGTCCTGCAATAAGGGCCTTTCTGGAATCCAGCTAGCATCCTAAATCTGTATATTTTCATTTTTAAAAAGAATAATTTTTAAAGCCACTCAATGATTTTTTTAATACTTTACCTACGTTAGAAAGAGAACATTTTCACAGTGGGAAACCCAACCTTTCATCAATATGCACGGTGAATCACTTCTGAAATAGAAAATCATATGACAAAAATGCATTACACTTTAAGAAAACTGGATGATATCCGGTTTTGAAACTAGGTCTTAATATCGGTACACTGCAAGTCGCTAAACCATAGCTCAGAAAATTGAACTTCCATATGCCGTGTGATTATGTATCTTTTCTATGTGTAAAAAAGCTTTTTAAGCTGTTATCTGACTACAGTAATTGCCACTTTAAATTGATCCACGTCAACAAAACCTGGATCCCTGGAGATTCTCACCTAGAAGTCTGATTGCAAAAAGGGCCTAACTGAATGTGTGTGCATCTGAGACTAGTTCAGCATTTTCTCAAGGAACCGGTTTCTTCCTCTTGCTCTTTAATTCTTAGAGGCAAGCAAAGCAGCAATCCTCTCTGGCAGTTCTCCTTCAAACATGGAAACCTGGATACACACTTCTACATAGTTACTTAGACCAAAATAACTTTCCCTTTAATAATAATAATAATAAACGTGTAGGAGCCAAGATCTCTAACATCCAAATTTTATAAAAATAGACAATCAATAACATGACGAATACATTTATGTATGTGGGGGGGGGGGAGAATACGTATTGCAAATGTTTTCTCCAGTACAAAACGCTATCTTGCATCACCATTTTTCATATTTTTAAAAATTAAATATATTCAAAACAATCACAAAGAATACATTGCTGACCAATTAAGTACTTCCTCAGGAGAGTCGTGTCAGTTAAGGCATGTCTTTTAATTAAGAACACAGAGCATTTTTAAGGCAATTGGTTAAAGAGAGTCATGTAAAAAATCACTTTCTAAATCGGCACATTTAGTCCACAACCAAATAAATGCCAGGCTCTCCCAAAAATATATAAATTGGTTTTTTGAGAATAAAGTTACATCATTCCCTAGCAAGGCATTATGGTATTGTATGACTCCAAGGTATTTTTCACCTGTTTCCAAAACAGATGAGCTCTACTGTACAAAAATTTCCTTTGTTCCAAACCTGACTTACACCAATAGGGTCTAGTAGTCTATTAAAATCGTCTGCAATTAATGAAACCTCTACCCCAGTGAAGGGAGAATTTGCGTTAAAGCCTTTCTACAGGTCTTCTCAACTTTCCTCCCTGCTTCTAGCAGGCTGTGACTTCACACAGTGGGTATTAAGTGAGTTAATTCAAAGGAGCTGAAACCTCATTGATCCTAATTGAAAGCAATACACCCAACCAAATACTTTCCTACCCCATCTGCTCTGGCCTGCCACCAGCTATTCAATACAAGAGAATTAATAGTTTCAGATATTCTAACTGACCCAATAAAGGCACTCATTTAAGCAGGGCTGTATTAACAAAGTGAAAAAAAGAAGGGCAAAATGGGTTCAAGTGGAGCATTTTACTCCTAGTTGCCTTTAACAAAGCTGAATAAGGCTTATTCTGACTTTTTATGTGCAAGACTTGATAAACTGAATGAGAAGGCACTCAATGATCAGCCAAAGAGCATTGATGAATGGTCATTAAGACCCCCCTGCTCTTAGAGGAGCCTCTTCCACAAAGTGGCAAACCAGCTTGAAAGGGTGGACTCACTAATGTCCAGATTTCTCTAGTTGCTTGTTCCACTTTCAATTTCAGACCACTGGCCACCAAATGAGGCTGACATATTGGAAAATAATGTTTTATGGGCGAGTGGTAAAAAATAAAATGAAGGCATTAGCTTGGCTTTCAAATTCAAATCTGCTAGTTTTGTCAGACCCCAAAGGTTTTGATTTTCCACCCAGCTGGAAGCTATTAGTGTTTTCTAAAGGCATCCCACTGACAGGGCAAACCTACCTAACTTGTGAGCTGTTGGGCTAAGGGAGATGGACCTCTCTTTTAGATGATTTCCTAACTTCTCATCACTTTGACAGTCAATTAAATAGATACAACACCTAATAAAAATGTACATTAATTTGTTTCTGCCACTGAAAGACATCTGAAACTGTATTAAATAAAGGCCATAATAGGTTGTCTCCTGACAAAGATAAATCCAATTATATTGTCTACACGAAAAATAAATGGTTTGTTTCAGCGAGGCTACAATGTAAGAAATCAGAGGGAGAGAAAAAAATTAAGTAAATAGTTCATTAAAGTATTTCATAAAGGTAAGGGGATCTCTGTCATTTAAACTTCTTCTTTCTATAAACGTCTGTTGTAAACTAGACACTTTCATGCTGTTCCCCTCAAATACCTGCTTTGGAGGAAAATGGCACCTCCTCAACTTTGAACCAGCCAACAAAAGAGCTCATGAGAACTTTGCTTCAATGACAAAAGAACACAGACATGATTGCCATTTTTAAAATGTGAAGGGTGTATAAACACCACGGGATCAAAGGGTTATTTAGGGCTGTCCAAGAGGGTCTAAGTGCTAGCAATAAGATGGGGTACAGTAAGAGAAAACCTGCCAGATAGAGGAAACTTGTCTTCATAGGTGATTACACCAGACATCCCAGAAGCACAAAAGCTTCACTGCTTGGATCATCTGCAATCTAATGACCGAAGCACCATACAACAGAGTGTACCATGTAGAACATACTGGACAGTCTGTCAAGAAATCCTAATCGACTAGGGCAAGTTGCAGGTCCAAAGCGAGAAGTCACGACCCCTTCCCTTCACCTATGACATGTCCAACTCCATGGCTTGGTCACTTTGACTTTTGTATCTTCACCAGTTAAAGTGTGTTAATAATGTGTTCTGAACTGTAAAAGGAGAACAATTTATGGGATCTGAAGAGAAACCAGAGTATGTGTAATCTGAACTGTAATTTGAAGATTCCAATCATAACATATTGTTAACTAACAGTGATTTCCTAAACTGAAAACCTGAAGTCTCTACATTTTTCATCTTCAGTGTGTACAGAATAAAATGTTATATTATGTCAACAATTTTTCAAGCAGCATATCTGATTCTTAACTCAGGTTGAAGTATACTTTTCGCAACTTCATTGAGGAAATTATTTCCTCTACTTTGAATGATAAGGTGTGTATTAGTACATTTAAGTATGCAGGGTGCATTTGTGTGTATTTGTGCAAAGATATTTAAGATAAATATCATGTGCTAGAAATAAACAAAATCTATATTTAATTATCATGAATTGTTTGACACTGACAAAGCCTTTAAATATCATTATGTATTGTAGTTCTTTTCCACCAACAACTTTTGATTTTCAATGCCTAATATTTTTTAAAAATCTAAAATGTTATAGTACTTCCTTATCAATCTACAAGGCTGAACACGAGCTATACTAATTATGTCTCTTCAAATAAAAGAATTTTCCTATAAAAGCAATCTTAAATATACACTTCCATGTAAATCTGCAAATAGGTTGCCATTTATCGCTTCCTCATATTTTTATAACTAGGAAAATCACTCAGATAATAGAGAAGGCACCCTAACTACATATCCCTTATCCATTTGACAAGGACTGTAACACTAAATGGAAAACCTTTGTTTCAAAGTCACCACCTCCCCATCCTGACTAATTGCAAGTCAGTTTTGTTAAAAAGCAAGGGTGATGGCGTATGCTCCAATGAACTTTCCCTCCTCTCAGCACCAGAGACAAAACCTGCAGTTCTGCTCTGTGCAGGCAGCCATCTGGACAGCTTTCCCTTGAAGCCCGGCCCGCATCACACTGCAGGCAGAATGGGAGGGGTTCGGGAGCTCTGTGGGGCTATTTATGACATACCAATTTCACATTTTCTGCTTGTAGGCTTGCAACAATAAACGCTAATGAGGACTATGAATGACAATTTTAAAGACAATAAAAAGGTCTCCAAATCCCTTGCATATGAAGACACTGTTTTCAAAACTTCACCTTCTGTTACAGAGCTGTTACAGGGTAAAGAAGGGAAAAAAAAAAATCTATGGAAGACAATAAGGTGATCAAAGCACGACTGAATCCTTAAGATTTCCAAAGAAAGCAATCTGTGTAAGCCCATGGAACAACAGACCTCATCACCCCTATGAACAGCCCTGTGGAATGCATGAGGCATCTTTTATCTCTCTCTACTACTTTTGCCTTCTGTAGACACAGAGCTTCTAAACACTGATTTTTTTTTTTTTTTTTTTTTTTGAGCCTGGGGATTCTAAGAGTAGCAGGTACCCTTAATAATAATCATCATCACACTTTTGCATAATATATAACGTTCCACATATATTTAAATAAATGTAAATGCAAAATGGTCCTCTTCTTATGACGTCTATTATTTAAAATAATGCAACAGTTCTAGGTGGCAAAGTTATAAATCACGTTTATTTCCTTTTTTTATTTTTCTCTAGTTTCCAAATAAGCATGGTACATTTTGAACCAGAAAAATTAATAAATATTAATTTCAATGCATTAAAAATACTGAACAAAGACATATATAAATGTTTTGATCTCGATAGGAATTAAACAATTCTACACAGCAACAAAAATAATAGATTTATCTTCCTATAAATTGTGTAAAGGGTATTCTTTTCATTAACACGAATTAAAACACTTTCAACAAAATCCACCAGGTGGAGCAAATACACAGCAATAAAATAACAAATCCCAGAATTTTTTTTCATCATATTCTTTTTTCACAGGACTTTTACTCTCCAACAAACTCTCCACCTCTACTTATCCACATTTCAAATTAGGAATATCTATGCACACATACTAATTTGCCATGTTTATAAACAGATTTAAACTTACTAAAAAATTATTTTTAGCTACCATGGATTGATTCCATCATAAATTTTCATTCTAAAACGAATGCTTTATTTGTTCCAATAATACCCAGTACAGTATATCTGCTTGTATAACAATGTAAATTTTTTAAAATTAATGTTTCACTCTGCCCCTACTGAGTTGCATCATGCATGCCCCATCCTCCTTACCCAACAAAACCAGGCAGAATAGAATTTGATGCTGTATATTCTGAAATGCACTGAACAGTTGTGAAAACCTGTAAATCTCAACTCAATTCCCTTATTCTGTATGAAAACTTCAATTCTCACTCTGACTTCTTATTAAAATTATTCTTAATTATAGATACCAAAATCATATTAATGTTTTGGAATACTGCCACTTCCTTTTACATGTTCTATCAAAATGTGCTGTTTTCATTCCTGCTAGTACATTGCCATAAGTTTGCAGTTCATAAAAGAAGTTGCTTTCGTCCTTCTCTTTTCTAGAGTAATTCACTTCCTCCCACTCTTCTCCCGTAGATCTGACTTTTCCTCACCATTTCACTCTATACTTACTCAGCACACTCAGCATAAGGTATCAACCCCACATTCTTGTTCCTATTTTCTTCTTCAATTCCTGATGCCACCTGTAAGGCATAACTCTCTCCATTCACTTTTCGAATCCTCTAAGTTTTCTTCACATTATACACTCTCTGCTGCCAAGCCTTAATGCTACAAATGGTGCTAATGTTACTTGCCTTTAAGAAAGCTCCAGTTAGCGAGAACTAGAAAAAAAGTTGGAGCTTGAAATGGAGAAACGCAGCCTTTCAGTGTAGGACACCAGTCAGGAATGCTGACTGTGGCTTAAGATATATTTATGTTTTCCTTTTTCATATTTATACTGATATTGAAAAGAGAAATATAATAAAAGAAATACATCAGGCCGATACATAAATAAACATGCACATGCCTGAGGATACACATGACACTAACAGCAGAGCTACTTATGCTAGTGCATAATAGACCACGGTGACGCCAGCTCCATCACAAGGCACACCAGGCTAATCCAATTATTTAGATGTTTATATACTTTTCACTGGAGTGGTATACAAATACAGAAAATAATGACATTACCTTCATAAAGAGAATACAGAAAGAAGTCTTTAGAATAATTCCTACCAAACTCTTCCCTGCAAAGTCCAATTCCTTTATTCTATGCAAAGAATGGAATCAATCCCCTGGAGCTGGGCTCATGCACATGCAAAGGCACATACTGCTCTTTCTACATGCCCATAACTCCTAGTAACAATGGGATGCAGATAGGTGCATCTAAAGGGTGAAAGCCCTTAAGTCTGCATGACAGAATCCTCATGAAGTAGGTAGAAAAAAACAAATCACTGCACATGTGCTTACATTTTCCCTTCCCTTTTCAAGAAACCCACCACCATGACTTACCACCCCTGTTCCCTCACCTACAGTTTGGACTTTGAATCAGCCCTTACTGTGGATCAAGAGCCTGATGTATTTCCTCTTGGTAAGATAACATTTTGGTTCTTCTCTGGGAATCTCCCAAATGGCTCATCTCCAACCATTCCTCAGATTTATCCTATACCACCCTCAAATATTATTTCTCACCACCCCCAGTTTCATCAAAGGGTGGGGCCCTTCCCCCAGCAAATGTTGAAGTCCATGTTCAAATTCTGAGGAAAGAAAAAAGCCCAGCCTTAAAACTTCTATCACCTTTGTTTAAAAATGGCCTTTTTTTTTATTTTATTTTTTTAACATATCGATTTTCCAAAACTACCTCATAAAAACAACCTTTAGATTACTGGTTCCATCCTGAACTACTAGAACTATTAGTGATTCTGACAAAAAAAAAAAGCAGCACATGTAGGACATTATATAGCAAGAATTTGGAAAATAAGACCCCATTAACCAAGGCCAGTCCTCCACTGGATAATGTCTGCTGCTGCTGATAAAGACACTGATTCATAGCAAGGCCAGAGTGTAAAATGAGAGAGCCAAATTTTTAGATGCATGTGAAAAAACACTCAAAACTATCTGCCCGTGTAGTCCAGTAGAGAACAGGGCACAGCACTGGCAGAAACCTCAAATTCCTGAGCAAACCCTCTTCCACACGATGCTTGCAGAAAGAAAGGAACCCAGGGCGGGAGCCAGCCTGAGGCTGGTGGACAGGGCTGCCCTTGCAGGATGTCAGAGCACCAAGCGGCTTCAGGAGATACTGGGTTTTCACACACTCTCAGGCTGACTGTTCTGCTCTTCAGGTAATTAAACAAGGAAGCAGAGCTGCTGGGTATGAGCCTGACCCCAAAAGCTGCGGCTCCATGCTTCTGCATATCAACTTCCACAAGAACTGCCTGGAGCATCAACAGAACGTTCGTGTGTCTCTCTCTCTCTCTCAGCCTCTTTCTGTCTCTGTCTCTGTCTCTCTCTCTCATTTCCTTCTCCATCTCTTTCTAAATCTGACCCAGAAACAAATCCTCCCAACAAAACATCCATGCAAAGGTCTGAATCTATTTGTAATAAAACCACAATGCTGTTCCCTGTCATGCCTTCCATATTTTAAAAAAGCAAAAATATCACCCAAATGGCAGGGACTTCATAAAAATTTATATATAACAAATCTATGTAAAACACTGGTATCTTAATCAAGATGGATTATGCAAAGAAAATAATACCGATATAACAATATTCTTTCTTTAGTGTGTGCCTGATTAAAGTGTGATTCTTCAAAGTCAAAAAAGTGCCCCAAGAAATAAATGATTTTGAAAGTCCAGTTCACAAATTAAACACTTGTGTTATGTCGTTAATATTGTTATTTTCGGTTTTGACAATAGGCATATGGTAAGCAAATGCAACCTATGATCTGGTTCATGATGTTTCTTCAAAATTCTTATTTGAACAAAACTCTAAACAATTTCTTGTGTACAAAGAAAGTCACCATTAAAACTCAAAAATATTTTTTAAATCCCTTAAA